AAAAATGAAATGCAGTTGGTCCTCCATGTCAAAATCTTTAAATCTTAAACATGGGGTAAGCCCAACGTGTGCGGCACCGTTCATTGCACAAAAATCGGATTTTGGAAGAGATTTTAGTGATCCTTAGTGGGGTACTCCTACAAGGTGAAGCTAAGCCGTCTCTAGTAAAACTTCCACCCGTTGAACGGTTTGCCTACTTGAGGATGTGTTTTTAAGGGCACGGATAGAGCTTCCGACCCCCCTTAATTTCATTGACTCTCCACATGAGTTGAGGAAAAGGAGTTAAAAGACGTACTCTGGCGAGCGCCAGATGTACAAAAATTGCTCTTGCTCGACTAATAAGGGTCGACCGCGCGAAAGACTGCAGTTGGAACCCTGCTAAGTGAATGAAAAAAGTAAAATGATAGTGAAAAAGGGGTTCCAACGGTGAAATGAAGTGAAAGAGCACCCCGGTATCGCGAGTCCTTGATTTTGAATAGTGTGAGTCCCTTTATCCATGAACTGACTGTCTTACTTCTACTTCTTCTCATGATCCTGGCATGAGTCTAGTACTCGCATTGAGAGAGATAGGGGACGTCTTAGAAGACCAGTTGACCTCGTAAGCTGCGTTATGATCTAGAAAATCCTCTACCGACGATCGGGGTTGTTTGTTGCTATAGAGGTCTGGAGAGTTGCATTGGTTTGAGTTAGGTTTGCTTGGGGACAAGCAAACGGTTAAGTGTGGGGGAATTTGATAACGATGTATTTGCACATGTTTGCACCCTTAGTTCTTATCCGTTTGCGGCTAGTAGTCGTGTATTTTTGGCCCGTTTTACGCCGGGTTGTGCTACTTTGTCATATTTCAGGTCCCAGACGTCGAAGGAAAGGATAAGCACGAGTTTCGGGGCATTTGGAAGTCATTCGGTCGAGCAGGGGCCACAGCACGGGCTGGTCTAAACCAAAACAGGGCAGTGTACACAAACATGCACGCTAGTGTTTTTATTGTTGAGAGCTGAACTGATGGAAAAGCAAAACACGGGCGGGCCTAAAGCAAAACACGGCGGTGTCCATATTTAGGCACGACCGTGTTTTGGCCGACGCGGGCGTGTTTTTAACACGGGGCAAAACACGGGCGGGCAATACCAAAGCACGGCCGTGCTCTCGACCTTGTTTCGGCGGTGTTTTAGGCAGATTTTAGCCAAAGAAGAAGGAGTTCTGAGTTTTAGAGAGACAGAGCAATACCTAGAAAGAGAAAGTGACGAAACTGAGTCTTCAAGTGTCTTTGATCGATCTCCATCACCACGGGAGCCCGGTTTGAGCTTGGAGAAGATCCGATTGAGCGCCAGAAGCAGATTATCATCCTTCACAGTATGGTTTCCGCATCTGAGCTAGATTTTCCATCTCTCTCTATGGAGTAGTTTTCTTATTCATCTGGGTATGGAGAACCCTAGATTTGTATGTTAGGTCTGATTGTATGAACCCAAGTATAGATTCTATGATTTGATTATATTCAATTGAGGTTTGATTTATTGAATGGCATGAATTCTGATCAAATTCCTGTTGTTTCTGCTTTAACCTAGAAAGAAAATATCTGCCTAGGTTGATAAAGCACCCTTAATTGAAGGTAGTGAATTGGCGACTTTAGTCGAGGAGCCAGTTCACTATGTACCGAATTTACTTCGGGAGTGGAGGTTTGGTTCGTTAGGGCCTCAATCTGTTTACTCTAGTGGAGGTTAGTCGCCCGCTGGGGACTCAGATTGAGAGGGTCTGGAGACCTTTAGTCGAGACTTCAGACTGTTTAAGAACCTCCCGCATTATAACTATCATAGAAACTGAACTTGGTAAATTGCAATCCGGCTTAACTGCAGTCTAGGGGGAACCATATCCGGGTGACCTCTCTCGACTTGAAAACAGCCATTTAATTGCTTGATTTACTTGTTTGCTTGTTTGAACTTGCACTAAAGTTTCACCGCTAGATAATAAGAATTCGCTGAGTAGTCATCACATCTAGGACCCTGGTTGACATTAAAACCCAAACCCGCTATACTACGCTTTAGGAAGTGGTTACACTTGGCCATTTTCTACAGTGACAGTAGGAGTGAGTCAGTACATCAGAGATTTCAGAGGAAGAGGATTCAAGTCAAGGTGGAGATTTGTTGATGTGACTTGAATCGGACTATCAGCCACTACGACTGGTAGTCGGTGGGGGGTGCGGGGTCAACGCCCCCGGCCCGCGGTGTATGGGCTCAATGTTATTTGGGTTCGGGTTCTGGGCCTGGTCTGTAACCGTTTCCTTTGCCAGATTGGATTAGGTTTAGAACCACATGGAGAAGTACTATAAATACTTCTCATACTCCTCTGTAATCTGTAATCTCCTCGATATAGTGAAACTGGCTCTCTCTCACCCATGGACTAGCTAACACACATTGTGTTAGTAAACCACGTAAATCGTGTGTCTGTGTTTTTTCGATTCTCGCTTTTGTATTCTTGCTTTATCGATTCCGGCGATTTCCCGATTCGTAGCAGCGCGTTTATAACACTTATCAATCTAGGTAATACTAAACATAATGCATATAGTAGCATACTATAGAATCATAAGCATCAATGATAAAGAAGCCTTCACACTAGATACATACCAAGGATCATCATAAAGGCATCCATGCATAGACAATGAGCATAGAAAATCAGATAGATAAACACAAGCATGACATAAAATCAGAGCATTCATTCACATAAAGATAAAGGAGTTCACCATCAATAATGACAACATCTCTCTAGTTGCAGACTCTCCTACGGAAGCTAAGCTCTTAACCGAGCAGAGTATAAAAGTTTTTGTGTGTTTGTGCATCCAATGCATTCAAAATCGTAATTTTATGTTGAAGCGATCTGGTGACCTAGTTTTGACTACAATTGTAAGTGAAAAGTGTGATTCTACGTACAAGTGTTGTGGTGGCCTAGAAGTGTAAAGGCGTAAGTTTTTAAGTTTTAAAGCTCAATTTTGACTACATTGTGTGCAGCCTTACTAAGCTAACGAGTCATGCCCTTTATTTATAGGGAGGAAATCGGCCAAAAATATATCCTAAATGGACTATGAAAGGGTCTCATACTCCTTGTGTGTTAAGTAACTTCTTGAAGCAGTCTTATAGAAGCTTAAGGTTGAGCGGCGGTTGGAACCGCCGCTCATGTTCTTCGTGGCTTGGGCTTCTTTAACCTTGGACGATCCTCCGTGAGGGATCCTTTGCAGTTTGGGCACGTCGTAACCAAGCCTCTTTGCAGCAACTGTTAGACCCGATGTTGGACCACCGCTAGTTTCCCCATTAGCTCGGCCCGAGTCTTCTTCCTATGGGCTTGTCTTAAGTTTATATGACGACTTCTAGTACACTCCTCCGTCATTGGACCTCATCTTTCTAACAAAAGCTCAATATTCTTCTCTCAATAGCTCATTTGGTCCTCCAAAGTTCTCCAATGTCCAAACTTCCTTAGGTTTCTCTGTACATTAAAAAGCTTCATACTCAGAATGCATCAAAGAGTACAAAAACATAACCTAGATCTATTAAAAGCTCATTGATTGAATAGTTGTGATTTAAATAAAAAATACAATTAAAATGACTAAAAATGCTTTGATAGAAGGATAAAATGTATAAGAATAGAATTGTCAAACACTATAAAATTTTTTATCAAATGTTGAATTTTCTAGGAGCATAGTATTATTTCTTTCCCTCTTTCATTTGTTTATGGTCAATTAGTTAAACTGATATGTAAAAATGGAACCTTTTTGAGAGGGAGTTTGCAGGTTGCAATTCCCCGGACTTAAATACAATCTTTGATTAATCATAAAAGAGTTATCCTTTATTTTTATTTTTTAATATAAAAAGTAACACATACAAAAAGTTAGGAATATAGTTAAGAGGACTTCTACTATGTTTTAAAATATTGGTGCTTTAAAATACAACTTGAAGATGTACCATATCATTAAAGGTACAAGTTAGAGTTGTATCATAAGGGAATTTGACCTTTATGTTGTGGTACAATTTTAACTCTTCAAGTTGTAACATAAATTAAATGTACAACTTTAGTTTGTACCATAAAGGAATTTTACAAAAGAGTATAGGTACAATCTAAAGTTGTACCATAACGTTAAAGATACAACTTCAAGTTGTACCAATAAAGTAGAGGTGGTTGTTCGGTTGCCGGTTAAACCGGTCGGTTAAATCGGTAACCGCAAGCAAGTTTCAACAATACTATTGTGACCATTACATCAGACAATCACTTATTCACAAACCTCCGGTCACTGAAGTAACCGAACTTCGGTCGGTTATCGGAGGCTGGATGAAATGGTTTTTTGTCTTAAAAGTGGTTCGGTTAACCGATAACCGAGATAAAGGAGAAACCAAAGCCTATTTCGGGCGTTTTCGATAGGGGGAGTGGTTATTTCGATTATTTATGGTACAAGCTATAGTTAAACAATCTCACCAAAACTATGTTAACAATCTCATATAAAAAAGTGATATTTAACTATCACTTATTTTGAGTGATAGTTTGAGTCATATACTTATATCAAGCAAACAATGTTTTCCAGACAATTAAAAAAAAGATGCATTATGAACAATACAAATATTGTTACAATTTCAACAAGAGGAATTTCACAATGCTTTAAAGCATTGGTGCTTAAGTTGTTACCTTGATTGTACAATTTGGAGTTGTACCTTTAACGTTATGGTACAACATTAGGTGTATCTATACTCTTTTATAAAATTCATTTATAGTACAAGTTAAAGTTGTAACTTTAGATCAAGTTGTATCACAACATAAATGTCAAATCCACTTATAATACAACTTCAATTTGTACGTTTAATTACATTTTAAAATCCGACCAAAAAAATCACGAAAAATAGAAAGGAATTGTCGCAAACAACTTGATGATTCCTTTAAATTAATGAAATTAACAACAACAACAAAAAACAACTTTCTGCCTCAGCCTGATTTATTTATATATTAGGTACCAACTTGCACTCATGGCTCACTCACTATTTTCACTAAAGAAAGTCAATTCAAAACTTTAGAAAGCTCTCTTGTACTGTATTCGCTTCGCTTGCTTTAATCGATCTCTTCAAGCCCAACCCATTGAAACCGCCTCCTTCAACATCCAATAGGGACGACGACAAGATGTTCCGTCGCCAATCATCAACAACGACGACGATATTTCGGGCGTGGCTAAACAGAAGAACATTTGCATCTTCACAACAAGCCGACGCTGCAATCAGCTCCTCATCAACAGAAGAAACCATAATCGTAAGACCATCTTCCCCAACTCCATCCCACTTAGCCAAATTCAAGCTCTCCCTCGTCGACAACCACATGGCTCCTTGTTACGTCCCCTTAGTCTTCTTCTACAAAAACCCCGCTCCCACAGAAGGAGGGAAAATATTCGACGCCCTCAAATCCTCACTCGCCCACGCTCTCACGCGCTTCTACCCGCTCGCCGGAAGGCTGCTGTCCAGCCCCTCCGGCTCGCTCCCCGTCGTGCATTGCAACGACGAGGGCGTCCCCTTCACTTTCGCCGCCGCGGGCTGCGGCGGCGAAAGCCTGGATTCGTTTCTCAGAGGCGGCCCTGAAATCGTCGACTCGCTCCAGCGATTCCTTCCTTTCCCGGCGCACATGGTCGGCACGCCGGCGGGGATCGAGTCGGCGCCGCAGATCGCGTTCCGGGCCACCGTCTTCCCCTGCGGCGGCGTCGCCATCGGGGTCTGCTTGCTGCACAAGGTAATCGACGGCCACACCGTCGCCGATTTCATGAGGCTCTGGGCCGCCATCGTCCGCGGCGGAAACGAACGCACTGTCGCCGGCGGCGGCGGGCCGTTTGCTCACAATCGAGGCGCCACGTGGCTCTTCCCCGCGCGTGTGGGTGACGTGGTGCCTTCGGTGGAGGATTTAGAATGCGAAGAAGGAGGAAATAAGAAGAAGGAGAAGAATGTGACGAGGAGATTTGTGTTCAATGAGGAAGCCGTCTCGGCGCTGAAAGGTAGAGCCAGGAGCGAGCGGCTGCCCAAACCGGGTCGGTCCGAGGCGGTTGGCGGGTTGCTATGGAAATCTGCGGTCGACGCTGCCGCCATTGCTTCGTCGCCCGATGAGTTCAAGGCCGGTTCGGTTTACTCGGTTGCAGGTAATTTACTCGGTTTATGTGAATTAAAATTTAGTTTTTCACATGTTTATCACTTAAATCCATTTGTATCATGTAGACCAGTAGAATCTATCAAGTGAGTTATAACATCAGTTCGATTGTTTAGTTTGGACGGGTTGAAATGGATTGAACGATTTTTAACGGTTAGATATGAAATCAGATAAACCACCCGGTTTTATTATTAACTTGTTCACTATGTTAACAAAAAAATAAAATGTTAATAAGAGAAAAAAAACTTCAACTACCTCTAACTAATTTTATTTATGATTCATTTCTTCGTTTCCTAGCCTCCTTGTCCGTTTTTGTGGTCTACTCTACTATATGGATTGTCATTCTAATTACTAACTTGAGTTCAATAAATAAAAAAAATTGATTTATTTTGTGAGATAGTTTGAATGATTTTCTTAGTACTTTTGGTGATGGATGATATGGATTTGAAATTGTAAGCTGTTAGAGTGATGAATTCAATACTAAATTAGCCTATTATCTATATCTTTTATGTTATAGCGCATAAACGATTCTATCAATGATTAATTAATGATCCTACATGTGACGGTTAACAACTAAACCATAAACAACTAATTTTTCATGTTCAACATCTTATCTACATTTGATCTGGTTCTGAAAACATAAGTTCATAATCTATTTTATACATTTTTTTTTTAGTGATGGCGGTGGACCTTCGTTATCGATTGAGTGAACCATGTGCGGACTACTGGGTTGGCAACCTGATGTGGGGCAACATCTCATCGTACCAGAACATCAACCAAATTCATTCTCCGGATGATGAAACTCAGACAACATTGCAGCAATTGGCGCACAAATTGAGGAGCTCGATCGAGAAAGTGGACGAGGATTTCATGGAGAGGATAGAAGGCGGAGGCGGAAGGGAAGAATATACGAGAAACGAGGAGATGAAGTGCAAGATGCTGGCCGCCGGCGCTGCAGGAAGGGAGAGCAAGGCGATGTACTTTGTGGTGTCCAGCTTGATCAGACTGGGACTGTACGACGTGGATTTTGGATGGGGGAAGCCGGTGTGGATTGGCATGGCCAAATTCGCAGATCATGTAAACAACGTAATCCTTTTGATGGAGTCGCCAACTGGGTATGGAGTGGAAGCTTGGGTTGCCTTGAACGAGCAAGATATGGCCTTATTAGAGCGCGATGATGAATTCCTTGCTTATGTAAACAATAACCAAAATGTAATCTAATCTCTCGTATGTAACACTGCCTTTCTTTTTTTTCACTCGTTTTTGTTTCCCTCTTTTTCTGTTGCTACGTTTTGAACTTTCGATAACAACCAAATTGTTGCTATCTCTAACTTTTATTATCGAGGCGTTTGTGTGCTAAATCATCATACCGAGACAACATTAGAAGCTAATTTTATGCTGATGATTTGTGTTCCTATACATCGATTATGAGTTTTGGCATGATGAGTTAGGTTGCAAGGAAGGTTTTTCCATGGGAAATCATCCTGTTTCGTCACGACCAAGGTTACGACTGTAGCGTAGGCTATGACGTGTCTTTGGTCACCGTTTTGTCTAGTGTCACTGTCCCGAGGTCGTGACGTGCACCAAAAATCTTTATATAAACATCTTTTCCACAATTGACAAAATATGGTCGGCCTATAGTGAGAAATTAGGGTTTGGATAATTTTTAGTGAGAGAAAGGGCCTTGGAGGAGCGCTACGAAAGGAATAAGTCATCCAAGAATCAAGGATAAAGGTGCAATCCAAGAAGAAGATAATGATTTCAAACGTTCTCGCTCTCTAGTTTGTATTTTCAATCTCTCTCTCTATGAATTGAACCCCTATAGTTGTTTAGAGGAGATGAATTCTTGTATGTAGCCTGATTTTGTTGATTGAATTCTTGTGTGTAGCATGATTAGATAACTACTAGCAACTTAGAAGATAGGCAAATTGGGTTTGGGCTTGAACCAATCAGCTACTCGTCCTACTATTAGAAAGATTCAAATCTAGAAAACCATCTCATCTCTAGCGACATCTCAGCTACTTATTTGGTTGTTTTAGTTAGGTTAGGTTAGTTCAAAAACAAACCTTCTTGTTAGCCTAGCATTGGTACGCTTGCCATTATTAGGGTTAGAAGTGAACGGCCATCGTTTTATAATATCTTATCGAGTTTTTGGCGCCTTTGTCGGGAAACTCTTAGGTTATTAGGAAAGCCGAGAAATACTACTCTAGTCTTTTAGTATTTTTCTATATTGTGTGTTTTGATTCTTGTTAATAGTTTGCCGTGATATCATGTTAGTGATGTCGTATTTCCTTTCACGTATATTTTCTTCTTTCGTTATGCTTCCTTTAATCATACTGTGTTATGCTTTTGTTCGTCCTTTGTTTTCTCTTTTTTCCCACCTTTGTTTTAGGTTGTTTTATTTTATGTATACATATATTGTAGATATGGATCCCAACGATTGGCACAACAATAGGGAATATCACCAACCTTCAAGTGATGATGCAAGCCATAGCTTCGGGTATCCAAGACCAACATATCTCTATGGCCAACAATCATGTCACCAAGATTATCAAGTTCATCCACCATATCAAGAAGAACGCACTTCATACCACAAATGGAACACTTCATCTCCCTCAGAGCCTAAGGTCAACTTCAAGTTTGAATTGGTGAACTACTTTTTTTTAACAATATTCATTAAGTATGCAAATGGGCAAGCCCAATGAAAAAGATTACATAACAATCATAAACTAAATGGAGCTTAATGAATTAACTAAACACAATAAATTGTCAATTTCCGTAAAATCTCAGAATTACCAATTAAATGTTTTATGTGTTTCATTTTCATAGTATTGTGGTTGTACCTTTGCTGTCACCGTAGCACTGCAATCACAACAAGAACAAAACGGTGGCCTTTAATTAAGTGCCTCCATTCTCAAAAGCCAAATATCTAACTACATGTTGCCGAGTTCACTTCACTTCTTAAATGAAAGTAATATATATTTGTTATAAACGCGCTGCTACAGATCGGGAAATCGTCGGAATTGATAAAGCAAAAATATGAAAGCGAGAATCGAAAAACACAGACACAAGATTTACGTGGTTCACTAACACGATGTGTGTTAGCTAGTCCACGGGCAAGAGAGAGAGAGAGAGTCAGTTTCACTATATCGAGGAAATTACAGATTACAGAGGAGTATGAAAAGTATTTATAGTACTTTTCCATGTGGGTCTAAACCTAATCCAATATGGCAAAAGGAAACGGTTACAGACCAAGAACCCGAACCCAAATAACATTGAGCTCATACACTGCGGGCCTGGGGCGATGCCCCCGCACCCCCACTAGGGTGTTGCCCCTGGACCCCACTCGTTGACCGGGCAACGGGACCCCGACTAATCCAGTCGTAGCGACTGATAGTCCGATTCAAGTCACATCAACAATATTAAACAAAATTCATGAAATGGTGAACCATCAATCGAGAGATCACCTACTATGTGTAAAATATGCCACAACACATCAGATGTGCGCGGTGATGAATGAGAAACTACAGTTGACAATTGACCAGTTGCAACTTGTCACTTCAATTTTTGCATTGCCGACTGAGAGACCAAAATTTTATTGCAAGTGTCACTTAAATATTTGTGCTGTAACCTTTGAATACAACCATAAAGCTAGCATCCCCGCCAACAGTTTCAAATTATTCGAAGCCGGTCGTCGCAAGAGCTTCGAAAGATGGTCGCCAGCCGTTTCAAGGTAATTAAGGTTGCCAATTGTTATATAGCCTGTCAGTATGGCGTACGTTTCATTTACTTTGAGATACACAGTACTGTACTAGAATAATGGACATGTCAACCCGCGGGTTGACCCAGACCCGGTTGAACTAGTGGGTCAAGGGTTAATGGGTCACCCGGTTTAGCTCGGAAATATGGAAAACGTCATTATATTGTACTTATCATGATAAATTATATCAAATCTCATTTAACATATGAGTTATAACATATAATATTACACCAAAATATCATTTCGTACTTAGATTCAACATACAGTAAAAATTCACACACACTTATATAACATTAATATTCAAATGTTCAACTTAGGATTTCAAATATTGAGTTAGGCGAAAAGAAAAATCGGAAAATAGGCGCATTTCGCAAAACAAAGAAAAAAATGACACAATTTGACCTGCAACCCGATACCTTGTAGCGGTCGACCCGGCGGGTGCGTACGGCCCATTTTTTTCACCGGGTCAGGGTTAAACTGAGTCGACCCGTGGGTTGACAACCTTGTGGACATCATATTAAAGTTTCAACTTGTATAAATATAGTCATAGATTGATACAATCATATTTCAACTTGTACAAGTACAAGTATAATGATAGACTGATATAATCATATGTTTCATCTATCATTCTGGATAAAAAAATATTGATGCCCATCGTTTGGATTGCAATGAAACTCGAATGATCCTTATTTCGGCCTCGGAGTTCTCTGTGATGAAAATTTAATTGTGATTGTTAAGACGGAAATATCGCTACTCGCTCCCACAAAATTATCAGATAATCATGACTTGAATATTCAAGTTTAGGGATGGACGCAGAGGAGGTTAGCAGGACATCACCAAAATTTGAGAGAAAAATTAATTAATCAGCAATAGTAGTTTGAGTATGGAAAAAAGAAAAAAAATGATAGTACAGATGATTCAAATCTATAAGCCAATAGTTATTAGTGAACATCTTTTATATTTGACTATACTTCGTTTGTTGTTGTAATTTTGTCATAAATATAATTATAAACGTGTAGCCCTTATCCCCAATTTTTTCAAAGCCTAAAATTGAGCTCATACTACCCATTATCCCATTGTATTCTAATATACGAATTTATCCTGGAGAGTTTGGTCACTTTTTCGATTCTTTCCTTCTACAGGATTTTGAGAATTATTCTCATTATGTTAAAAATAATGAGTTATTTTTTGGGTAAAAGGAATTGATGAACTAGCTGAGTTTAGTGGAGACAAAATTGAATCCATAATATTCATGGTATATTTGCTCCTCAAAGTTGTATTATTTGACTTTACCGGTTGCAAGTCCAAGTGTTGAAAGAGCTTTTCAGCTCTGATGAGTTACATCAAGAATAAGTTTCAGAATTGAATAAGCGATCAGGTTTTGAATGATTATCTAGTAAGATATATATTGATTGAAATTTGTTGAGCAAGGTAGATTTCTGGATCCATCCTACATATAACATACTTACAGGACAAATACCCATACACACACTGATACACATTACACAATATAATATAGCATATGGGCAATGCCGTTCTCAATATATTAAGACCAATTCCACACTTACTCGAGCAAGTTTCATCAAGCATGGTTGCCGCGCCAATAAAAAAATCATCTTTGATGCACGAACCCCATTCATTGAAACCTTGGACAAGTGAGAGGCCTGGAATTAAGAGCTTTTCGGGAAGCTAAACTTTGGCCGGCTGACTTTTACCTTGTACTAATGCAGTAATGCGTATAAATTATTCGATCCGTTGCAAAGCAACTTACTGCCTTACGAACCAGTCATAATAAATTTGGTCCGCGAGTTGCTTTGCTTTCAATCGGGTGTATAAAAAAAATCCTCCGTAGCATCCGTTTCGGCAAAAGCAATAGCGACGAACAATGTTCCGTCGGCATACACAAATAACGACGACATGGCTGCCTCCATTTCGACGAGGATTGTGCGCATCTTCTTTGAGCAGTACCGCCATCGAGGAAACCATGTTAATAAAACCCTACTCCCCAACTCCCCGCCACCTCACCAAATTCAAGCTCTCCCTCATCGACAACCACATGCCGCCTTGTTACATGCCCTTCATCTTCTTCTACAACAATCCTACTCCCGGACGCACCGGATCCAAACTCTACCGTCAGAGACTCGACGTCTTAAAATCCTCACTCGCCCACACTCTCACGCGCTTCTACCCGCTCGCCGGAAGGCTTTCGAATCCCGACCGCGACGGCGGCCCGGATTCGATTCCGGTCGTGCATTGCAATGACGAGGGTGTTCCGTTCACTTTCAACACCGTATCCAACGGTGGCGAAAGCCTGGATTTGTTTCTGATAAACAGAGGCTCAGAAATCGTCGACTCGCTCCAGCGATTCCTTCCTTTTCCGGCCCACCTGATCACCACGCCGGCGGGAGTCGAATCCGCACCGCAGATCGCCATCAAGGCCACCGTCTTCCCCTGCGGCGGGATCGCCGTCGGGGTTTGCTTGCTGCACAAGATTGTCGACACCCACACCCTCGTCGATTTCATGAAGCTCTGGGCCGCCACGGCGCGTGAAAACAAACGGGTAGGAATCAGCCTCAGCGCGTACGCTCACGATCAAGCCGCCACGTGGAGACTCTTCCCTGCGCATCGCGGTGACGTGAGCCCTTCCATCGCGGATGTACTATGCAGAGGCGAAGGGAAGAAGAGCGTGACGAGGAGATTCGTGTTCGATGAAGAAGCCGTCTCCGCGCTGAAAGAAAGAGCAAAGAGCGAGCGGGTTCTCGACCCGACCCGGTCCGAGGCGGTTGGCGGGTTACTGTGGAAATGCGCGATGAATGCAGCCGCCGTAGCGTCGTCGCCCGACGGGGTGCAGGCGGGACCAATTTACTCGCTAGCAGGTAATGTACAATCAAAGTATATATCAATAATTTGCGTGATAGAATACGAAAAAACAAAAATTTACGCAACACATAAGTTTACATGGTTTGCGTGTTAGCTATTT